GAACACCCACAGGACAGGCAGGGGCTGCGCTGGAAGCTCGGGGTGCACCACTGTCTCATCTCGCATCAGCGATGCTCTCCACACGTAATATCATCGCCAATGGGAAGGTGAGAGACTTGGAGACATTAAGGTGTTCCTCAAAGGCCACGTACGCAAGACACCGGCCCTTTCATAGCAAAACCTGACACAAGGTTTGTCCACTGTCCCAGCTCTCAGCATCCTCATCAACTGGTTCCCTCCGATCCACTGAGCTTCTGCCCCCATCATGATACCAAACAGCTCATAGCAAAGCCCCCAACGACACTATCACAGCCAATGTCACTCCCTGTCCTCATGCGATGGGGCCCTTTCAGAGTCCTCTGACATTACCTCCTTCTCTAGACCTGATTCCACATGCCCACTGACCTCTCTTCCTCTTCGACCGGACCTCTAAATTGGCCTCTGACCTCGCCCAGGCTACTGGCTTCCTGTGTCACCCATATACTGGCTGATCCCCAAATGTGTGTCATCGGCCCAGACTCCTCTGGGCTCTGAAGGTGTATATCCACCTGCTTGCTTCACACCTACACTCGGGTGTCTAATAACTTATCTCCTCCCCAAACCCCCACCCCACCTCCCAAGCTTCCATATCTTGGTCAATGACATTCCCATTCTCTCAACTGCTCATGTCAAAAATCAAAGACTCACTCCTGATATGTCTCTCCCCTCATGCCACATAAATCCAACACAGCAGTAAGTCCTCTTGGGCATTATGCTAAGTGAAATGCCAGACAGAGAAAGACAAATACTGTATGTTCTCACACGTGGAAGCTAAAAACCCGAATCATTGAAACAGAGGGTAGCATGGTGGTTACCAGGGGCGGGGACACAGGGGGATGTTGGTCAAAGGAGACAAGATCTCAGCTGGAAGATAAGACCTGGCGATCTAACACCCAGCATGGCGACTATAATTAACAGGACTGTATTATATATTGAGAGTTAAGAGCCTAGATCTTAAATGTTATCACCACACACAATCGTTTTTATGTGAGGGAATGAACTGTCCACTAGCCTTATCGTGGTGATCATTTTGCAAGGTATAAATGTATTGCATCATCATACTATACACCTGAAACTTACATATGTTCATGTTAATAATATCCTAACAAAATTGAAAATGGAAAGTCCTCTAGGATCCAGCTCCCAAGCCTGTGGGAGTCTTGGGGCTCTTCCCACAATCACACCCCACTTCCTCAGCTCCCTGGTTCCCCCACCATCCCATTTCCTTGCCTCTCAGGGTGGGTCTGCCCTCTTCAGGACCAAGCTCTGGCCTTCTCGCTC